GGTTAGGAGAATGTCATCGGGTGGTAAAAGTCGGTCTGGCTTGTTCGCACTGTTTGGGATGGTACCATACGAAATGTGCATATGTGTCCCAACAACAGTTACGCGAGCGAAATAGCTCCCAAAATGCATTTTGGTACTGTACTACGTGTTCAACCATTCCCCTCGTTAAATGCTTGCTTATTCTAGCTGATAAATGCGACCGATTAATCGCAGAAGCAGAGCAGAGGATAAACAATGAGATTACTTCAATGGAAGCGAGTATGGACCACAGAAGCGTAGCGGCTGCTAAGCAACGGAATGCTGAACAATCCGCTTCCCCTGCACCGCAATCAGCCACGTCTACATCACCGTTGTCTTCTCCAACATTAGTAGAACGCCGGGCGAAAACAGACTGTACCTACGTAAATCAAGTAGTACTCACAGCAACGAAAATCAGGCACCATTCAAAACGTCTGGTTAAGCAAATTCCACTAGACCTGACATCTAGAATTAACAAGGATGAAGCAGCCAAACACCAACCCTTTGTACCTGTAGCTCAAATATCTCTTGTGGAGACTAAGCCTCCCAGAACATCGGTTACATATGCAGAGATTGCTGCAAGGGTCCACCGAGAGGCCGCCGTTGCGTCCTCTGCCATTGTAAACACCGTTAACGCAAATGGAGAGAAAACAGCAAACAATCACTTGTCAACAAGTCAGGACAAATGAGTACCATAACTTGTAGATCAACGAAAAAGGGATCCAACAACAGTGCCCGGACTGTTGTATGCTCAAATGTCCCCGAATCTACCGCCATCACATTGCGGGATAAGTTATCAGACGACCAAGACCAATGGAACTCATTGTGTATGCAGATGAGTATCAAAGCCAAGCCCATAAACTTGTTACGAATTACTCGTCATCCGAACTCGCCACACTATGGCGAACCCAGACTTATTCGAGTAACTCTAGAATCCTCCACCGACGTAGAAAACGTTTTGCTCTCCGCAAGCGCGCTAAAACACGAATCCTGTGGGATACGTATCTATCCTGATGTCCCTTGGAGCGCGCGACAACCAAAACGAAACACTGAAGAGGGCACAGCAAGCAAGACCGCCTAACACAATCTTCATACATGGCGTGCCAGAATATCCTTCTAACGATGTTCAAGAGACAGGAAAGCAGGATATAGACCAGTGGCGGTTCATTCGTGAAACACTTTCTTTGGATGATGTTGTGGCACTATCGCTCACCAGGATACCTCTCTCATCGAATTATAGAGGATGCGGCCCTAGAATCCTAAACTTGTGGTTCAGTCAGAGCAACAAGCAAAGGATGTTTTGGATCGATGGCGGAGAAATCGGAAACATCTTCCTTCCGAAATTCGGTTAAAGGTCGCAAACACTTTGCACAGCTCAAGTATTAAAGCAACTGGAGCAGCAAGCATCCTGAAGAATGTACAGAAGTGTAACTTGACTGCTGTTTTAATTGACTCTGAAGTAGATCTAAACGAAGGCTGGGACGCACCTTGGCCGAATCAAGTTGCAAACGAGGTATCATTGACCCATCAAAAAAACGAGTAACTGCCGACCTCCCATCGGTCGGCATTCTCCCACACTTGACAGCATCACCGCTCTGCGGGCTCCTAGAGACCGAGAAACTGGCCTGCTTGTATACAAATGCTCAGGGACTTTCTAACAAACTGGCTGAACTGAAAGATCGCCAAGCTTCCGGCTCGTATGTTGTCATTGGTGTCACCGAGACATGGTTGCACACGGGAATGACGGACGCTGAAGTGTCGCTACCGGGCATGTCGCTGATCCGGAACGACAGGCTCACAAAAGGAGGAGGTGTAATCCTGTACTACCGAAACGACTTACAGTGCGAAGCCGTAGAGGATTCAGATTCGCAGTTCCCCGACTCTCTTTGGTGCCGGTTGCAGTTAAAAGGCAGGGACGCTTGCCTTATTATCTTGGTGTACCGCGCCCCTAACTCAACACCCGAAACCGACTACCACCTAATGGATGCTTTAAGGTGCAGTTTACAACAAAAGTAAACTCACATTCTTCTCATGGGTGATTTCAACGTACATTGTTTAGAAGCCCCTGCCACAACCGGCGAACAATTCAAAACCGGTTTACAAGACCCAGTAACTACTGTCCCTCTTTACAATCACATCACTTTGCCCACTCGGTTCAGAACTGGTAACAGGCCATCTGTGCTAGATCTTGTGCTTACCAACGAGGAGCATATGATTGATGTGTTGGTTTTAGACTGCCCGTTGGGTCGCAGTGATCACGCAGTCATCAGTTTCAACTTCGTCTGCTATGCAGAATATCTGAATGATAACGATGATACTGTGCGAACCATCACAAGATACGACCGACTCGCCCAGCTAGTCAGCGCCACAACATGGTCTTTCCTCGAAGAAGAACCCCCGGAAGTCGCCTGGCTCGAGTTTGTCAACACATTCAGTCAGCTGATTGTACAAGCTTCAGAGATAAAAGCTTGCAATAAGTGCAAATCAGTTTCTTTCGTTAGGAGCAGAACTCGAAAATGGATGACAGTACGCAACGCAGCATGGCGAGTGTACAGAGAAGCTCCAGCACAAGAAACTTGGGACAACTACGTAGCCCAACGTAACCACTGCACTCAACTGTTAAGAGAAGACAAATCCGTCTATCAGCAGAACATCGCAGAAACCTTCAGTGCTAACCACAAAGTGCTGTACAAGCACGTTAATAGCCTACGAAAAGTGAGGCAAGGATTTCCCCCACTCAATACGGCTGATGACCCAACAAGAACATCTATGGAAGCAGCAAACGCGCTGCAGATGCAATACGCCCCCACGTTTCAAAGAGTCTTGCCACCAAGCGGTCTACCAAGCATTGTATTCTGCTCACCGGGACTAACCCACATTACTTTCACCGCAGAGGCTGTATTACAAAAGCTGACTTCTCTACGCAAACACAGCTCGCCGGGTGTCGACGCCATTCGTCCAGAGGCATTAGGAGCAGCAGCAAACCAACTGGCAGGACCTTTAGCTCAGTTTTTTCAACACTGCTTAGACCGGAACCAAGTTCCTGCCATGTGGAAGCTTGGAATAATAAGCCCGATTCACAAAGGTGGAAGCAGAACTGATCCTTCCAACTACCGCCCAGTAACCCTTCTTCCTATACTCTCCAAGGTCATGGAATTCATAGTTGCCGATACACTGGTGTACTATCTGGAAAACTGCAACCTCATCACCCCTGAACAGCAAGGTTTCCGTCGACAGCAGTCATGTACAACTAATTTACTAATTGCACGCAGTAGTTGGGCTGAGGCAGCCGACGCTGGAGAAGGTGTTGATGTGATCTACCTGGATTATTCCAAGGCTTTCGATCGTCTAGACCATCGGATACTACTATCCAAGCTGCAGATTACGGAATCGGCGACCCTCTTTTAAGCTGGATCGCCAACTTTCTATTTCAAAGACAATTAGTGGTCAGAGTTCGGAGCTCTTTATCGGACCCCATACAAGTCGAGTGTGGTGTGCCGCAAGGCTCAGTTCTAGGTCCACGTTTGTTTCTGGTGTTTATTAATGATCTTGCACAGGGAATCGCTTCAAACTTCCTAATGTTTGCCGACGATATCAAGATCTGGCGCAGGATCCAGGCGAACGCCGACCAACATGTGTTCCAAAGTGACTTAGATACAGTGTATAAATGGTCGATCCAAAACTTATTGCATTTCAACGTCAGTAAATGCAAGGTGCTTTCCATCCGACATCAAAGCAGCTACTCATACCGACTCGGAACGGAAGTACTGCAACAATCAACTCTCGAACGTGACTTGGGTGTCCTGATTCAAGATGACTTGGGTTGCTCCAGCCAATCCGAAAAGGCCTCGAAGACCGGGAACCAACACGTCGGGCTGTTGAGGCGGGCGTTTGGACAAATAAACAGCTCCATATTTCGACAAATGCTCAGTGCGTATGTTCGCCCCCATGTCGAATATGCAATTCAATCCTGGCATCCATGGCTGAAACACGACCTTAATGCACTGGAGCAGCCACAACGCCGGGCATCTAAGAACGTAATTGGAATGCGCAATCTTTCCTACCAGGAGAGGCTGCGACGATTGGGATTGTTCAGTGGAAGCTATCGCAGGCTACGAGGCGACCTGATCATGACATACTTGATTCTGCGAGACCCACATCATGTGTGCCGCCCTTTACTGCAACTCAGCAGCAATACAAACCTGAGGGGCCACTCATTAAAACTCGCAGAACAATACAGTCGTCTGGAGTGCCGTTAAAATTTCTTTTCCATCCGTGTCTGTCACCCGTGGAATGCTCTGCCAGAATCGGTCGTCTCTGCACCGACACTAACAGTATTTAAAAGACGGTTGGACGATGCACTCATCCACTTACACTTTGTTACTTAACACTATGTCTCCATCCTACACCTGGAGTTTACCCTGGAATTATTTGTTGTTAACTGTGGGTGTTGTGAATCTAAGAGGATCGCAGGACTGCAGCGAAGCAAACGATAAGTCCTTATTTTCGTATTTAAAGTATTAACTATTTTACTATCCTTTTCATCATAATTATTATGTTGATATCCCCTGCAAGTATCCAACGGGACTTGTAAAGCAACGCTTATTAACCCATATAAATTCATTGTTCATTTTTTATTGCTGAAGTGTCTTTGACTTGAATCTGACCCGGACGTGGTGTTCGGTGAATTGGTTGCTATCATACCGCCGGATTGGTAGGAGGGTGCCACTCTAGAGGTGGCTCTTGAGGCGATGAAATCACCGGTGGAGGAAGAGGCTGCTTCTCCTAAGGCTGGTCTGAAGCTTGCCAAATTTCCTGTCGAAGTACTTGCCCATATCGTTACGGAATTGAAGCACTTTTCGCACGGGGATGACATGGCTGATCAGCTGCTTCAGGTAGCTGAGCAGGTGCAAAACGTTACGCTCACAAAAGTGCTTGCACGGTGCATCTGTGCGAGATCAATGAGCATTTCTTTCCACTAAATGAGTTCTCCTGAGGCAATGGAGAACCTGTACTGCTATTGGCTGACAGGCGATCGGGAACGCCAACTTGCAGTAATCCAGAAACCCTGGATGACGAAACGTAAAGATGCTGCACAGGCGATCCTGGATGGTAGTTGGTTGAGCGCACACAGATCACTTGTGGGGCTCGATCAGACGATGATTGAGTATTGGAGATCTGTATTTGGTGTGCAAGGTGCGGTGGATGAGAGACCGGTTCCCAAGGAGGAAGGCCAAGATTATGGTCTGATTCAGCCATTGTCTGCGGCAGATGTCGATGACGCGCTGCAGAATGCTGGTGATACGACCCCAGGACCAGATAAGCTGTCGGTGGCGTACTGTAAATCCTTGGAATTGACAGTTCTCGCACAGTTGTTCAAGCCTATGAGGTTCTCGGATGCCCTCCTGCGTCTCTTGTGACAGCACGACTGACTTTGTTGCCCAAGGGGTCGGACCCCAACACGCCGTCAGATTATCGCCCGAGTGCGGTGTCTTTGATTCTGCTGCGGGCCTTTCATAAAGTTTTATAAAAAGATTGAGGTCGCGTTTGAATGTCTTTCCTTCAGATCGCGTTTCAAAAGCGGGATGTGTCTTGAGGCCTCATATGTCCTACAGTGCATCCTGAGAAGGGTTCAGTCCGGCTGCTTGAATGCCGTGTTGGCTTTCTTGAACGTTGCCGAAGCGTTTGACGCGGTGTCATTTGACATCATCATACGAGCCGCAGCAGCATATGGAGCCCCACCAGAGCTTCAGCGTTAGTTGCGTTCGTTATACACCTCTTCAAGGTTCCTTCTTGGCAATGAACCTTAGATTGTCATAGAGGTGTGAGGCAGGGGGATCCTCTGTCTCCTCTCTTTTTCATCATGGTCATTGACGAGGTGATTGCTGCTACCCTACCAAATCGGACGGTGCGGCAGTGTGGCGAAGAGCTTGGTGCCTTTGCATCCGCGGAAGACCTTGTGTTGTTGGCCTCTTCCCAAGAGGCGTTGTCTGCGAAGCTGGTGGCTTTGCAGCAGGCTTTTCGGCGGCAGGTATATTGTTGAACGCCTCGAAGTGTCGGGCCGTTACGGTCCAAAAGCTCGGCAAACAGAAGTGCGTTCTCCTGGTGATCCAAGCTTATCCCATGGTGGGAGGTGATCTGAGCCAGGTTGTGGTGGCGGATGAGATCCGTTACTTTGGTTTGCGTTTCAATTAGAAGGGGAGATGCCGGGTAAAAAGCACGGCTGTTCTTGCTGGGTGGCTCAATGGGACTTCTCGTGCCCCGTTGAAACCGTAACAAAGTCTGGAAATGGTGTGTGACTTCGTCTTTCCCAAAATGCTTCATGAGTTGGTTCTGGGGAACGCTCGTCGGAATACCATTCGGCAAATGGATAAGATGGTGCGAGCCAAAGTGTGGGAGTGGATGTGTCACCGTAAAGATGTGCCGCTCGCTTTCTTTTAAACGAGTCGGGGCCTGGGGGGTCTCGGCTTGGTATCGTGGAGCATTCTTGTTCCTTTTGCTCAAAGAGACAAGTTCGCTGGGTTGTGTTTTGCACCGTCCTCGTTGGTGCGGGGACTTCTGGAGTCGGAGGCGTGCAAGGTTGCTACCCGGAGTTTCAGTGTTCCAGTCCGCCTAGTGGGGACTGTGGTGGAGGATAAGAAGGCTGTTCAAGGTCTCTGGAGAGAAGGTCTGGAGTCGTCATGTTATTGCAAAGATTTAAAGCTGGACAAACACGACGCGGCGAGCAGCCAATGGATGTCATCGGGCCGGAGGGTCTTTCCCCGCCTCCTTATTCGGGCTACTAAGTTAAGGGGCGGACTCTTTCCAAAAATGGTGCGGAGCTCCAGGGGGATTTCCCGGAAGGCTGATGATGTCAAGTGTCGTGGTGGTTGTGGGGAACTTGAGTCTATTGGGCACATCTTGCAGATGTGTTGCCTTGCTCATGTTGCCCGGTGCATGAAACATAAGCGATTAGTACGGAAAATTGCCCAGTTTGCTAAGCAGAAGCATGCGAAGGTATATGTAGAGCGCATCTTTCCATTACCGGTGAGATACTGTAAACCGGACCTCATTATTTGCGCCAAAGGGTCGATAATTTTTGCAGACGGGGCTATCACATCGCCGCAGAGGCAAGAGCTGGCCTACCGTGAGAAAGTTGCCAAATACGCAGGGGCACGCAATTCGATACGGGCCTACCTTGGTGGCAAGGGGGTCCAAATGACCAATGTGGTGCATTGACCAATCATTATCTCGGACCGTAGTTAAATATGGAAAGGCTCTGGTGGGGCGCTTCGTCGTTTTGGATTATCAGGCCGTGACATTTCTGAGTTGGCTCTAATAGTCAGCGCGTAGTCACTGAAATGCTATGATGTATATATAGCGTTACGGGTATCGAGGAGGGACGCAATGGAGAGGAAGGCCCAAACCTACTGGAGGTCGAAGCTGATGTGCAAAGGTATGAGAGCAATTGCTGTTTGCGAACGCCCTCGGAGATTCGGGAAGACAAACGAATATGGATAGAGGTTGCTTGTAGCAACCCGACCACCAACGGATTCTCCAAGTCCAACTTTGCATTCGTTTCCGCGGGACAAAACGTTGCTCGCGGATCTCAGTGGCAAAGTGTTTATGGCGTCAACCATGAGCCACTAGGCTCTGAGTTCCAGCCCAACTCAGACTATCTCCAACTGATGAGTCCCAACCAGGACGAAACCACAGTTTTCGGGTGACAGTGTTGGGATGAGCAACACTATAATTTTCCTTTTACTTACGGTCTTTTTGATCGGAATGACCGAGGTCCACCTCAAGTGAACAGAGGTCTCAACGGAGATTGCTTGTAGCAACCCAACCGCCAGCGGATTCTCCAAGTCCAACTTTGGATATGGATCTCCTTTGGGCGGGTTATTACTGGTGTTTTGCTTAACCCCACTGACCTTCTTACACATTCCATGGAACTTGAATTTTCACTTCAGTGCCTAAACTGTATGACCATTTTTGCTTATCTTGTACCCCGTTTTTGCTTACTCGGCCCAGTATTTTTGATGTTAGCTGGGCAGGATGAGTCAAACCGAACTCCGCAAATATATGATAAAGGTGTACCAAGTGTACCAATGTCCACGTGGTTACTAAGTATATTGAGGTAGGGCGCTCGCGGAAACATTAGTTTTGCTATTCTCAACGCTTTTGCGGTTCTGGGTGAACGGGTACAATGAGTAGAGTATTGAAGCTCCCTAGGTTTTTTGGAAAGCGATAATTCATATGGTATTCTTGGCTAGTTTAGTTTCACGAACGATAAAACTGCGGCGTACTGGGTATATTTGTTTTGGAAAATTTGATCCAGCAAGCATAAGGTTTACGGTTAGGTCACTCCGACGCACCCTGGTTAAAAAGAGTGTATATGATAATTTACACTTTTTGTTACCTATACCCCAATGGGTTCACCGGTTTTCACTTGTTCAGTAATGATCAATGATTGACGCTTATTTAAAACGTATTGATTTTGCATGCAAGTAGGCACGCCCAACTGCCTTTCTTATGCTGTGACCCGCTTCGAGTTAGTTATTGAGTATACTACACACATTATACGTTTTCCTTTTGCTGCCAACTTCCTACGGCTAACGTCCGGCCTTGATAGTTGTCGGCGGGAATGGGATAACATGTCCTCGCTGAACATTCCACAAATATTCTAGTCCTGTTCTACCAAATACTCTCTTTGGAGTATTGGAATAGATGGTGAAGAACTTTAATTCATTATCCGGAGTTGCTTCCCTTCTTGAATTTGGCAGTGTCTCCTTCGGAAAAACACAAAGTAATACTGTTACAACAATTCCTTGGGGATGAGAGTCAGAGAGCTTTCGACGCCCTTCCTAATGACGAAGTCTTCTCAACTAGTGCTCAACCAGTGCTCTGGATACATTCAGCTCTTTTGTGGTGTTCACGTAAGTTTGTATATAGCTAGATATTCAGTTTCCAGACTCTCCCAGAAACCAGACGAAGGTGTAGACGAAGTCATTGCTCGTATACTCCAGGCAGTACCAAACTGTGGAGAACGCCATATTTGTCCTTCGGACTGTCGATATCAAAAGACAGTATGCAGAAGTTGCAGGAACATTAGTCACTTAGCGCAAATATTTAGATCGGTCAAACGTCGTTTAAACCTGACGTAACGGGGAACGAAGCCCATTAAAAAAATGGACGAGTCAGAGGGAGGCAAGTACGAATTGCACGTCATATGGTCGAATACGCTCCCCAACATGCGGTCCGCACGGTACACCCTAGAGCTATATATTGAGGGACAAAAGTTAGATGGAAATTGATACGGCAGCATCACTAACGCTAATTAAGTAAATTGCTGTGAAAAGCCTAACGGCATTATCAGTTTGCAATTCTGTTCTCCGAAGTTACATAGATGAACCGATACCAGCCCCTGGTAAATTCCCGGTAAACGTACAATACGGTCACGGGACACAGACAATTCCGCTATATGTGGTGCGGGAAATCGCCCAAGTCTGCTTGAAATGGACTGGATACACGCCTTTCCGGGTATACCATAGGTAGAAAAACAGTCGCTGAGGTTCCAGGACTTAAAGCATTACTAAAGCAATATTCAACGGTTTCTGTCAAGGGGATGGGAAAATTGCACGATTTTCAGGCCTCGATAATGTTGAAGAAAAACTCTCGTCCAAAATTCATCAAGGCGCACACACTACCGTACGCCATGAGACCTGAAGTGTAAGCAGAATTAACTTGTTTACAAAACCAGTGCAATATTACCTCTGTACCATTTTCCGACTGTGGTACACTAATGTTACCTGTGACCAAGCCAGACGGCTCCATGCATATTTGTGGTGACTACAAAATGATTGTTAACCAAGCTTCTGCGTTAGTTAGGTATACGTTGCCCCGCGTCGAAGATGTGTACGCGACTCTGGTAGGTAGTGAAAAGTTCATCAAGCTTGGTCTCATCTACTTATATTCGCAGATTGAATTCGAGGAGCTTTCAAGGTAACTTACTACTATTACCACACCTATAGGACTTTTCCGATATACCCATTTGTTTTTAAACATTCATTCCGTCCCCGGCATCTTCCAGAGGATTATCGAACTCTTGGTGCAAGATATATCTCTCGCTTGTGTTTGGCTGTACCATATGCTTATCTCTAGACGCTGGGATACAGTACACCTTCACGCACTCACTATTGTCCTCGAGTAACTGAAACGATGCGGATTTAAATGAGTGATATTCAAATGTGAATTCCTTTCCGCTTTGGTTTATTAGCTTGGATATCAGCTGACTAAACGTGGGGTATATGTTTTAAATGACGAGATGAAGCTTATTATGGAATGTTCAGAGTTGAGGAGAAGTAATGGACTTGGTTCGTTCTTGAGAATGTTATCTCACTGTTGCCGTTTTGTGCCTAATTCATCTACAGTATTATTTCCA